CCCTCCCTCCCTCCCTCCCCTGTATGACAGTGTTGCAGAGTGACGCCTACTTCTCAGTGACTCTCCACCCCCACCAGGCCACCTCCACCCTCCACCCTCCTCCCTCCTCTCTCCCCTCCTCCCACACAGGGACACAGTGGAAGGGAATTCCTCATTACCTCAGCATTTGCCGTCACTAAAAAGCACATTTTGTGTTTGTCTGTACAAAGATATTAGAACATAAACTGACCACTTTGCGCAAATGACAAAACACATTAAAGTCACCACAAAGTGGTTAGCATCTTTCACTCCGTAATGTTTAAAACAACCATTCTACGGTTTGTAAAACCATTCATGCTTCTCCAGCTTGAGCATACTGACAAAAGGAGTTACAATTATATAGGAAGACACAGTATGCCTAATATATGAAACTATCTTCCAGCAAGCCCCATTGTATGATACAGTTTTACTAAGGCATAATTAAATTGTGCCAAGATAAGAGGCAACTATAATTGTGGCAACGACGGCATGTTAAACCAAATCGCAAGAGTTGTGAAACGCACATGAACAAGCTACATCTCACCTACAAATGATTAGCACCTACTGACAAAGACACAGACACATACACACACAGCACATGCTTACTGTATTTAGAGTTCAGCTCTGTGGATCTCCAGTCGGATCAGGTGTCTCACAGACTAAAGCACATTATTGCAGGAGAAGCAGCAGAAAGAAGCAGTTCTGGACCAAGACAACGTTGAAATTAGTTTTATCTCACTAAGTAGCACAGATGAATGAATTCCATTTCCTGCAGCACGTAAAGAGTTTCAGGGGTGTTTACCTCTGTCAATCTCTCCAGCTCATTCTACTTTCTTCGTCTTCACGTTTGCTCTGTTCCCTTCCTGTCTGTAGGTACCAAGTGCTCTGTTTTGTTAATGGTTTTCATGAAAACTCTTTTTTTTTTACTGCCCCCTCTCTTTTTCTGAATGAAGCACAAGCACTACAGAGAAACAGCAAGGCTTGCTTGCTGGCTGGCTCCCTCTCTCTACTGCTCTTATGCTATCATGCGCACAGTTTGCACCGCTCCCTTCTCCTCCAACCCTCCCTTTCGTGTGGATTCTCTCTCTCTCTCTTACATATCTTGTTTGCTCTCTGCCTCTGTGTAACAATATAATTGCAATGACAGCGAACCCAGAGCTTGCAAGAAGCCCAGCTGTTTAAAGGGCTGCTTGGATCAGCCTATATGTCACTTGATACAAACGCAGGATGCTTATATGAGAGGCAACAGTAAATACATCTCTCACAACTACAATTGAAGGTTTGGCACCTCTCTTTTGCAAAAAAGGACATTAGCCTACATCCACAGGCAGGCAGAAGACACAGTCCAGGCACACTCTCGTCACCACTCATCACTCTCCGTTTCATGGGAATATATGATGTTGTTATCTGTAGGCGGTCTGGACAAACTGAATGAGCTTAAAGTACTGACAGCTTCTGGTGAATCAGAGGACTGCTGCTATGGTCAAAAATAAAGAATGAAAACAGGGGGTTTTGAAGGAAGAGATGCTCTGGGGGGGGGATAATGAAACCACCTCATTAGCTCGGAAAAACCTTAATCCCACAAGACAACATATTTGCATCTCCTCTCTGCAGCCTCCTCTGCAAACGGCAGCTGAAAGACGCAGTGGAAAATAGGCAGTCAAAAGTTCAGCACCAAAGGAAACGTCAGCAGGGAACTCTGGGTAAGGTAGCAAGTAGGTAGTAGGTCCAGGGATGTCTGTCTCAAAAATGGCTGAGTTTTTGAGTGGACAGCATGGAACCAGGCTTTATGGGGGACTTGGGGGAGGCAAAAATTCTACATAACAATGTGTGTTGAAGGTAATCAGACCAATGGTGGTACTTAGGGACGGACTGGTATACAGGTATTAAGTGAAAAAACTCACCTCATGCTTCTTCTTTTTTTCACACTTAAGGAGAAACTGCTGATGAATGAACATTTCCAGATATACTTGTACTGTATGTGACCCAGTCCCAGTACTGGAATTAAAGAAGGGCCTTCCTGGAAATATTTTCTTTTTTATTGATTAGGGCTATGTGATATGACATTTCATATCCTGATAACGATAAATATCACAATATAGAGCATTTTCTATAATTTCAATGAATACATTTAAAATATATATATATA